TGGCTACTGGAAATACAACATCTTTCCCTGAATAACTCTTGTTGCCTCATGGCCCTCAGTGATGTCTGAGTTGGAGGAGAGATTATAATGTCCGACATCAGATAATGTTACAAATCACAGTAATAAAAAAAAAGCTCTTATATGAATAAGAAAGATATGAATCTCAGTGATAATAACACAACCAATTCCTCTCCAAACAGATATTCCAAAAATGTTCTATGACAATAAGATTTGGAATAAAATGTTTGCCTGAATAATCTATACAGTACTTTTTCCTTCTTTCTAAGTACTCACTGTATACAGATTCCCAAACAAAGCTAAGTTTATGAACACATTCCCCAAATAATAACTGTCGATGGGCCCTGAGAATCTCAGCTCATCATATCTATTCTAAGCTGATTTTAGATGATATTTACCTTGAAGACTTGCTTACAAGTTTAATTTTCCCTGAAACATTCTATTTAATCATCTTATTTTCTTCTGAACAAATTCACATCCTTACTGCAGGTGCTCATTCATACTACCCTTCCTGAATTATTGTGCTCAAAGCTTAAGAAAAATTCAAAATACCATCTACTTTTTAAGGAGTCAGAATAGTATAAGTTCCTTTTTCATTCAGCAGATTAAAGAAATGCGTGTTTTGTGCTTTATTTTTACTGAGCAGTGAGTATGACGGCAGAGGATGACAGGGTAAAACAAGCCACATCCTGGCTTTGTAGAAGTTCACAGTCTGTCTAGGGAGTAAAAAAGTGGTGGTGCAATATCAGGACAGTGTATTAGATACATATTGTTAATATTGTGGTATCAGTCAGGACCCTAGGAGGAAGCAGCTGACACACTCAAACTGATTCTTTGAACAGAGTTTAAGAAAGAAGCTATTTACAATGTTGGGGGTGGGGTTTAAGGAAATGGACAGAGGATAATGTGGTGCATGAAAAGAATGGCCAGAGAACAAGTGCTGGAACACAGACATCACTGTCTCCACAGAGTCAGCTGGCAGGAACCATGACCTTAGAGAAGGGTGCAAGCAACTTTCTGCCAATGTGGCAGAGAGGAATGGGGACTTTTGGCTTTGCTCTCCTTCTACCCCTGATCTAGCTGTGAAGAAAGACAAACTCAAGTCAGAGGACGAAGGATTCGATTAATGTAGTATTGACAGTCAAGATCAAGAGACACAAAACAGTTCAGAGAAGGACAGAGTGAGTTTGGGGACCTAAAAAATGATACTCAATACAAATGCCACTTGTTCTATAACGTCATTATTTTTTTTAAATAACCTCCACTAATTATTTTTTTTCAATCTTGAATTTCAAAAAATAAATGAGGATCAGAAAGTGTGAAGTTATATGGAATAGCAACTAAAGGGTCTAAATAAATATTTACTAGTGCAACAAGACACCTCTGGTTTATCACCAAGTCTGCATGTTTGGATTTATACTCAGGGAAATATTGGTGCTTTGTAGAGACATAACTCATACCCTGTATAAATGGGCCTAAGAGACAAGATTGTTAAGAAAAACTGCTTGTAGAGACATTCTTAAGTATGAGTAAGAATAGTATAAGTAGATGAAGGCAAAAAAGGGAGAAAATGTTGCAAGTATAGGGAATAAAAAAAAAGTAAGAGATTACAACATTGTGCCAGGATTTAAAGTAATTGGTTGAATTTGAAACAGAGGACAAGAGCAATGGGAAAAATAATAGTGTGAATAGCTACAGATGGGTTAAAGATCATGTACTTTATAGTTCATGATGTTTAGGTTTTATGGTTCATATTAACAATTGAACATGATTGCTTTAGGTGAAAATCTGAGATTGAATATTAAGAGAGATCGTTTCAGAGACACAGTGTGATTATACATTATTAAATCCTAATTCTTGTTACTGAACATCACTTCAGAGGTCTAAGCAAACATTGGTTGGCATTTTATTTTGTAGTAGATCACAGTCATGAAGAGATACCTTGCTGGTCAAAATGCTGAGAAAAAAACATATTGAGTGCTCAGCCCAAAATGTGACATCTGTAGATGAAATTCTAGTTGGTCTTATTAAATAAAAAACACAGAGCCAAATATAGGGGTAAAAGCCTTAAATCAGGGAAATAGGGAAAGTCACCAGCCAATCTTACCTCATCATCTTTGCAGTTTCCAAATGTGAGCTAATTCCTGTCTACTCATGCCTTTATTGCCTTGCCGTCCTGTCTTCTCATTGGCTCTAAGCCCAGCCACATCACTTCCTCATCATTGCCTGTCTATATAGACCTCCAGGTCTCTATGGTTGGTACTAGGATTAAAGATACTAGGCTTTCTTCCCTAGTGTGGCTTTGAACACACAGAGATCCTGCCTGCTAAGGGATAGGATTAAAAGCATGTGCTACTGCTGCCTGACTTCTTTGTTCACTTAAAATGGCTGGCCTTTCCCCCCTGATCTCAAGGCAAGCTTTATTTATTAAAGCACAAATAAAATATCACCACATTTCAGCACAAATGAAATATCACCACAGACATCTATATGTTCCATGTCATATATACACCAAAGCTCAGGGAATTACTTTTTTTGTGGTAGGATGAGACAAGTAACTAATGCATGGAGGTTGGGGAAGAATGCTATGAGATGCTATTTTCTGGATGTAACTTGGCTATGGCAATCATAAATTCACACTGGCTGTTATTATGTACAAAAGACCTACACAAGATCAAGCCAGCCAAATTCTTGGCATAGATGATGTAAAAGATCTCCAGGCTGTATTCCTCACTGAGACTCTAGTGGTAGTGGATAATTTCTGGGGGTAGAGTGGGGGAGAATCATTATCTATTGAGGATATTGTCATTAAAAGATTTTCCATGCTTGAATGGATGACCCCATATCTAGGCACAATAGACAGCACTAACTGAATTTGGTAGGGTATCTCTGCCCAAACGATATGGATTTGGGAGATTGATGTGTTGGAGAGATATAGAGGAAGTTGAAGACAGCAAATGAGGGGTGGATATGATCATATTCCATGGAACACATGTACAAAATTCTCAAAAATAAATACAAATAAAAAACAAATAAAAAAATCAAACAAACTTTATGTCCACTCTCTTAGCACTTTTTTCAAAAATAAAATATACCGAAAGTAATCATAATATTGTGCAATAATACCTTTGAACTTATTTCTCCAGTACAACTAAAATATTTTATTCTTTGACTAAAATCTCCTCAACACACCACCATTCAAACTCAGTGAACAACATTTTATTCTCTTCTTTTATAAGATCAAGAATATTTTAGATTCCAGTTGTTAAGTAAGTCATGCAATAGTTGTCTTTCTGTGCCTCACTTCTCTACTAAGCACAATTTCCTCTAAATTCATTCAAGTTGTTGCAATGACTTCTTTTCCTTATTTTGATGGCTAAATAGAATTTTCTTGTGTGTATATCAGTCAGACTTTCTTTTAATCACTTGTTCATGAATAATGGTTTCATTTACATCTTGGGTATTGAGAACAATAACACAAAAGTACAGATGTCTCATCAACTACTGAATAAATTTTATTTATTTTTAGATTTATAGATCAGCAGTGAGGTGATGACATGTCAAACTAACTTTTGTATAACCAAAGAAATAATGAAAAGAATAATGAGACTACCTACAAAAAGGGTGAAAATAGGGGGTTTGGCACAGGTGCAACTTGGATTGGTTTATTTTTATTTTTGAAGGTCTCTGTTCTCTTTTAATTGGGTGAGGGTATGTAACCTTTGAATTTACTGGTTGGGGATTACAATTATCATTTTGGGGGCAGTCTGGCACAAGTCCCAGGCTTTATCCTTGAGCTGCCTTGGGGGCTGGCTGGCCTAGCACGTACTGACTGTGGGGACTGGCTCAGTGGTCTAGGCTCTGTCCTTGACTCATGCACATAACTCTAAGTTGGTGAGGGGTCCCAGACAGTAAACATCTGGCTGAACCTTGAGCAGTCAGAGTACATGCAGAAAGGGAGCTACTGCAAGGACTATGTCTTTTGTTCCTGGCCCTCCCAGAAAGTGCTTGCTCAAGTCTCAGGAAACTGAAATTGAGGCCTGATCTCTGAGAGAAGACTGAACAGCCTGTTATGGCATCTGCTTGGACCTTTCATGTTACCAATTCTTGGTTATCACTGAAAACATGAAAGGATAGATTTCTCTTTAAAATAGCATTTTCAACATTATCTAGAAAAATAAAGACTATGTCAGCTTTGGTCCAACAGGGCCAAATGACAGCAGAACTTGGCAGCATCATTCATTTGGAATTGTTTTTTCATGAGTTAATGATCCAAGTTTCTAGAGAGCTGAAGAAGCCAGGTAATGTGTAGCAATATCAACATTTCTACAAAGAGGCCCTGAGAGGACAGGATGCTGTATGAACGTGTGAAAGGCATTCTAAGTTGTAAAGGAATCCCATGAGATGTTGGGTACTCTGGAACCACAGAAATTTCACCAGGGAAAGCTACATTCATAGAGTTCAGCTAGATCATGAGAGACAATGCATGTGCTACAAGTGTCAGTGATGGAGTGGCAAGGGGAACCAAGCCCTTACTATCTCAGATGTTGCAACATGTGTCCAATGTGCCAGATACGGAGCTGCAGGACTTGTATTTACTGGCTTTTACTCTTGTATTGGTTGCATCACTTCTTCCTATGTCTCATTTCTCAATTTGGGGTGAGAGTATTTTTTTTCACCGTATATTGGGAGTATTAAATATGTTTTGATTTTTACAAGGGCTCACAGTTATGAGACTGCCTTAGGATGCTGAAGAGACTTGGGCCTTTGGATTTGAATAGTGGTGACAGTGTTAAAAATATAGGACCTTTTAGAGTTAAGTTAGTTAAGTAGTAGAGGTAGACTGAGAGAATTTTTTTTGTTATTAGAGAAAATTAGATGTTAAGGACCAAGGGTGGAATATGATGATTTAAAGTAATGTGTTTGAATATTAAGGACAAGGGGTAGCATTGTGTTACTTAATCGTCTATTCCAACTTAAAGGTCCTGAGAATCACCATGGAAACAGACCTCTGGAGAGGTGTCTGCCTGCACAAGTTTAACTTAAAGAGGAAGCTGCATCCTGAAGACAGTTGGCATAATCCTACAGGCTGGGGTCCTGGACAGAAAACAAAAATAAAAGGGAAACGAACATAGCCTTCATCTCTTTCGGCTTCCTGACTTCGAACAAGATAGCATTAGCTGTCTCAAGCTCCAGTCCCCATGGCTATCTCACCACAATGGACTGTGTCCTCAAAGTGTAAGCAAAATTAAACCCTTCTCCCTTAAAAAGCATGGTTTCAGTTTTCTTTGACTATAACGCAATAACAGGATTGCTGAACCATACATAAGTTCTCATTGCAATATTATACATTGAGAAAGTTGTTCTTTCCCATACTGAAAGGGAAAAGGAAGGAGGGGGAGCAGGAAAGAAGGAGAAAATAGGAAGAGAGCAAGAGAAAGGATAAAGAGGGTAAAGAAGAGATGAGAGAAATGGACAAAATTGACCACAAGTGGTACTGGGGAGATGATAAGTATCATATCAGGTGTTTACAATTTAATTTTTGCAATAGTGACAGGAGTAAATTACATAGTCAATGATGTGCTGTCTTTATGGTATACCAATGATACCACAGTCAAACTGTTAACAAAAAGCCAGCTGCAGTTTCACACTAGTGAGCCCAGTGGGCTTTCTTCAATTCTAAGTCTTATCTGTTAAAAATCCCATGCAGAATCAGAGTGGCATGTTTCACATGTAGTTTTGTGTCTAGTCTGTTTTCACACTTTTTTACGGCCATGAAAATCTTATAGGAAACTACACTGTTATGGGTGATTTAATTGCATAGTTTAAAAATGTCAATAAAGGATACAGGAAACTGAATTCATTGGCTACAAGGCAATAATGATTGATGCTAACTTTATTGTTTTAACAATGAAGTGAAACACAATAATACATACCACAAACTTGACTTAAAGCTGAAAGTGTTAAGAATAAAAGCACTATCACTTATAGAGGTAAGAACTAATTAATTTACTAGAGAGCTAGTAATTTTATGAAAGTCTATGCATCTACTCATTGACCCAAACTTGAGATCTAAAGATGGGAAAGGTTAAAGTCACAGGAACAGAGGCTAGAAAGATGACTAAGTAGTAAAGAGAATCTGCTCCTCTTGCAGGGGACCCTGATTCAGTTCCAAGTACTCATGTGATGGTTGACAACCACCTATAACTCTAGTTTCAGGGGTTCTGATGCCCTCTTCTGGACTCTTTCGGCATGATGTGCATTCATACATGGAGGCAAAATACTCATACACATAAAATAAAAGAATATCAATTCTTTTTTTCCTTTTAAGTGGGTGAAACACAATCATAAAAATAAGGGTATTAAATGAAAGTGTAGAAAGAATTCTATCAAAGATTACATTTAGAAATAAAATCTTATAAATATGCATACAAGGGAAATATAATTTGCAAAAAATGGACTCACAAGAAACAGAATCCATGATTATCTGAAAAACAATGAAATTGGTATATATATATATATATATATGTATATATATATACATATATATATATATGTCAAAATATACAGGAGTACATACCTTATATTTTGATCTGTTACGAATAATAAAACTAGGAAATACCACATGAGTAATTTTATGAGTCCAATTTACTTTCCTTCAGAATGAAACCAAACAAGTACAATATAGAAAGCAATAGAAAATAATATTTGTGAATACAGTGTTAAAAACATCAATTAATTTTAGGTAAAGGAATTAGAGAAGAAATTAAAAATAATAAATGAAAGCAAGATTTATCATAGTAAGTAGAAAAATTATTATTGGAAAATCTATTATTGGAATTTAGTTGAAGTAAATTTAACTTAATTTCCTACTAAAATTCAACACAATAATAAAGGGACTCCTTAAACCAATACATTCCCAAGAACATAACTAAAAAGACAGGTGACTCTATGGATCTGGCAGAGGGCACAGGAATGGCTAGTTCCAGCAACAGTGGAGACCATGCAGAATCTCAGGCTGGAAGACCTCACTAGAAACCACAGATATTTTGAATAGCTCATGAATGAGAAAGGGTGTTTAAAGGAAAGAGCTCTAAAAGTCAGTTTGGAAGAAAACTAAAAACAATATATATCTGAACCTCTCTTAAAGATGGGATTTGATTTTAGAATCTGACTCCAGAAGCACAAGAACTTATTCTTTCAGTTCATGCATTGAGTGACACAAAGCAAAGTTAAGGATGTGGATATTATAACCCATCAGAGAGGTTATAGAAAGTTCTTCACATGACAAGATGAGCCCAAGATCGCAACCTTCAGCTCAAACTTAGTTTCTGGCTTTCTAGCAGACTTCCTTCCTTCGTTCATCCCTCCCTCCCTCCCACTCCCCTCCCTCCTTCCCTCTCTCCCTTTCCTTTCCTCCCTCCTCCTCCCTCCCTCTCTCTTCCTCTCTCTGTACCTCCTTCCTTCCTTTCTTTCTTCCTCCTTCATCCCTCCCCACTTCCCTTCTTCCTTGCTTGCTTCTTTTCTTTTCCCTTTAGGGAGCAAAGAATCTTCTTCAAGAAATCTGAGCATCCCTAGTAAACATCTGTTTGAGGGGCCCCTGGCAGTAGGATTAGGTTCTATTCCCGTGTATGACCTGGCTTTTCCGAGCCCGTTACCTCTGGTGGGGACGCATTGCTGAGACTTGATGCAGGGAGGAGGGGCTTGGTCCTGCCTACACTGAAAGTACCAGGCTTTCCTGATTCCCCATGGTAGGGCTTAACCTTTTGGAGTAGGGGATAGGGGATGGTTTGGAGAGAAGAGGAGGAGCGGGAGGAGGGATGAGAGGAGGCTGGGGAGGGGGAGCAGGAGGAGGGATGAGAGGGGAATCTGTGGTTGCTATGTAAAATGAATAAAAAAATTTCTGAAATAAAAAAAATAATGAAACAACACTTCTAGATCTCTCACGACTGAAGTTACAGCCTCTGAGAGATCCTTTCAGGTATTTACATTTCCCATTAACGGTTTCAGTTATTCAAGTTCAAGTATGAGTAAAACCACTGAATGTTGAGCAGCTTGTAAGACGAAAAAGAAAAGGCAAAGAAAGGATGGTAAGTGGGTATCCTGGTTGATGGACACTGAGTGGCCCAGCTAGAAGTAGTTATGTCTCATTCTTTCACCAAAGCCTGAAAGAAAATGTCTGCTGCCATTAAGATTAGGTTTTCCAGATATGAACAAAGTTAGTAATATTTTGTCTCGTTTAAATTTCATTTATGAGTGAATTTGCCTGTTTGTCTCTGTGTGCACCATATGTGTGCAATGGTTGAAGAAGCAAGAAAAGGGAAATGGATGCCCAGAACTGGAGTTGCAGACAGTTGTGAACTGCAGTGTGGTTGGTAGGAGTCCAAGCTGGATCCTCTGTAAGAGTAACAAGTGCTCCCAACTGATGAGCCATTTATTTAGTCCGTTTTTTTTAGTTTTTTGTTTGTTTTGTTTTTTTTTTTTTAAATTGTTTTTTCTTCTTGGAGCAACAGGAGAGGAGAGTAAATGAGAGGGGCTGGAGGACAGCAAGGAAGAGGGAAAGTTGTATAATTAAGCTTAATTTTCAAGAAAAGAAAAACAGTGAATGATAACATTATAAACACAATAAGATTATCTTGAAGCCTTCAATTAAATGTTCTCTTGATTTTCTCTTCAATACTAAATTTAATAGATAATCTTTTTAAATTGATCTAAATTCTTAAGTTCTGATATGTTAGTGTATCTGAAGGATTGTCCAAACACTGACCCAGTTACATTTGGATGATACACATAAACAAGTACCAACAATACCTTTAATATTTGCTTGTGATTGCAATACATTGTGTAGACGTTCAAATTTGGGTTTAGTCATGGAAAGAAAAACTTTCATCTCTAAGACAGCCACAAAGATATGGCTACTCACAGAGAGTCCATTTTTCTGTTTTGAAAGAATGGCGTGCCTCCAAAGACAATCCCGGAGTAATGGAAGGAGTGAAGTCATCTCTATAACTACTTTAATATGTACATAAATATTCATGTCAAAAGGCAACTCGTGACTATAAATCTGTTCAGGTACTTCTTTACAATGCTATTTATTTTACCCAGTTCTGTGACTCATATGGTATCTTTCTTTGGCTTTTTGAATGTTAGTGTCTACTTTAGAAGATAGTGCACAATTTGTTGTTATCCAAGTCTTTACAAATATCTTTGTGAAAAAATTAAGAGGCCATGTGTGTTTGGAAGTGTTAGGCTGGTGCTATTTCAAACAAAAACAATCTTAAGTTGTCATTTCATAGGACTGATACTTTTAAATTAAATTTTCTTCTATGTCTCCTTATTAAAATTATTTAACTATCTTAGTGCAAATGTTTTAAAATATTAGTCCGTATGACATATTAATCTTTCTACTATGTTCCAGACTCTGTTTGGCCCATGAAAATAATTATGAATACTATACTACTTTCTCTCCCAAAGGGATAGCAATGGAATGTGAAGACAGCCATGTAATCTATATTCTCAGTGCAAATAAAAGGAGCTGATGAAGTCCCAATCATGGAGCTGTAGAGAATCAGGGAAACTGTTGGAGCAAATAATGGGACTAAGCAAAGGACTATGACAAATGATCCCATGTGGTTTAATTATTTTATATATTTTAGACTGTACAAGAGATGATAATGTGTTTTCTCATTCCTTTTAATAGTTACATGGAGATCTGATTCACATATGCAAATTTCTCATACAATCTCTATACAATAGTTTTCATTGTGCATTGATTTTTTTTTTCATGCACAGATAATATTTCTACCACCTTCAAAAGCAGGCATATCTTTTCTCTATTATCTTCCTTAGTCACACTGTACTTCTCGGGCAGCCATACTTTGGCCTCTACACATTTTATAGTATTTACCCTAAATGACTAGACTCATGAAGAATAGGATATACTCTGACAAATTTCACTATAAAATATTTTCATTAAATATATTTACCATATTGTAGCTAGAGTTTTCCTGCCTGGCCCACAGTCAGGACAAACCTCTCTCACCTGTCAATTTCACAGCCGCTCAAACCCGACCAAGTAAACACAGTGACTTATATTGGTTACAAACTGTATGGCCGTGGCAGGCTTCTTGCTAACTGTTCTTACAGCTTAAATTAATCCATTTCCATTAATCTATACCTTGCCACATGGCTCGTGGCTTACCGGCAACTTCACATGCTGTTTGTCATCATGGCGGCTG